ACTTTCAAATTTTGCAAACAACTGTCCATAAATAGGTTGAACAGCCACGGGGAAGCCACACAAACCTGTCTGACACCTTTATGGATGCCAAGTCCGAGTAGATCCCGTTGATCCTAACACAAGCACTAGAGTCCCTATAAAGAGACTCCAATGCCTGTATCAATCCAGCGCTCAACCCAAATAAGTTCAGTGTTTGCCATAGCACATCCCTATCCACTCTGTCATAGGCCTTTTCCAAGTCCATGAACGCACAAAAAACCTTTTGGTTTTTAGCCAAAAACTTCTCAGCGATCATGCGCACAGAAAAGACTTGATCTGTACATCCCATTCCCTTTCTAAATCTCGCTTGCACATCACAAATTTTTCCATCAGTTTCTTTCATGACTCTTTCAATCAGTACCTTAGCAAATAGTTTTCCCACAATGCTATATACAGTTTTTACAGTCCTGCTGCAACCCTTTTCCTTTATATACTGGGACTATCACGGCTTTGCACCAGTCTACCGGTACCCGCTTCAGTTCCCAGAATAAATTAAACAAGGTGTGCAGCAGGTCTGCCACCACTTCCTCTCCAGCCCTTAGCATTTTCAGTGAAACTCTATCATATCCGGCAGCCTTACCTGCTTTCATGCTTTTCATTGCTTTCATTATTTCATTATTTCATCTATACTTATCTCGCTATCTCTTTCCTCTTATTTCGGAGTTTCTACTTCATTTAGTTTATACATTGTCTCCTCACTCATAAACACACTTTCAAAATATTCCTTCCATCTCTTTAAACTCAAAACTTCACCATTCAGAATATAGCCATTCTCGTCTCTTATAGCATTAATTATAGGCTGTTTTGAATGTCCCCTGGCAGTTCTTATGAGTTTCCAGAACATTTTAATATTTGCTTGGAAGTTATCCGATATTCTTCTATCATTCTTATCCATTCTTTCTTGCTTTTTCCTTTCAACTACTTCTTTTACTCTTTTATTTAGATGTCTAAAGACTGCCTTTTTCTTTCAATATCATCATTTGTACCGCTAGAATTACCAGCCTTTGTGGCTAGTAAATCTAGCCATTCTCTTCTTTGCTTCAACTTCCATATGTATCTCATCATCCCACCATAACATATTATTTTTCCTTTCATTCTTTATCTTACTAACACCACATACTTGGTGCATTGCTGCATCCACTAAACCTTTCTTAACATTTTGCCATACATTCTCCAAGTCTAACACATTCATACATAATTAATCCAATTGACAGAATCTGCTGTAATAAGACATTAAAGAATGATATGTAAGGTATTTCAATGCAATAATATGGCTTATCATCCAAAAAGATGCAAGACTCACTGTGTGGGCTAATGATTGTATGTTTTATACTTAATAAATAGATTACAACAAACATTTGTTAGACTTTGTTTCAACTAAAGTTGTTCAAAACGATTATAAATCAATAGCATGCTACAGACTATAAACTATAAATTTCTAGCGTGCTATTAAATACGCTATGTTATAGCGCGCTATTTATAAGAAAGCGTGTAGGAGGCCGGTAAGCGCGATAAGTTTTGCAGCACGTTACATCTCCTAGCATGTTACATTACATGTCGTTCATTGGATAGATCGCGTGTTATATAAGAACATTATTTCGTAATAAGGCGCATTTTAGACTAAAATAAAAAATAAAGCGGTAAAGAAAAACCAATGAATGCTTTTCCATACTTTTCAGACTTACTACTTTATATAATTCAAAAAATATTTTTAAGTCATGTACTTTTTAAAATAGATTAAAATAGATATAAAAAATAATTAATTTTATTTCAATTCTAAAAATAAAATTAATTAATTATTATTTATTATAATTGATTTTAAACATTATTATAATCGTAATATAAATTACTATAAATCTATAAAGGTGTATTTAAAAGTTTATTTAATGTATTTATAAAAATCAATTATTTACATACACTATTATATACACTTTTGTATCTATATTTTATTTACATTTAAAATAATTAGTTGGGCTTCTTTTATCACAACTGTGTCCTTTGATCATTTATAAATATACAGTATACACTAACTAAACAATGTCTAACATTAAATTAGGTCGCGCGTGATGAATAGCGCGCTATGAAATCAAATTTGCGTCACACCTCCTCTCCCAACAGCGCTGCTGCTAGAACTAATTTCCTCTAGATAATACTTAATAGAGCAATAGCGCCATGGTGACTACTTACATAACACGCGCTATGTGTTATGAAGAGATAGCGCGCTATAATGTGGCGCTATGCGCTACGTTAACCACCATTAGTTTCAAAACTTGCGAATGAATAAAAATTTTATAAGATTGAATTGTTATATGTTATAACTATCAAGGAGTGTTTTATGTGCTTTTTATTATTGTTTAGTATACATTGCATCCTACCTTTTATTTGTGCATTCTATGGATATGGGATTTTATTTCACAAATGCTTATTATTTAATTGACACTAATTTGCTTTAGGTTTTTGTTTTAATCAAGAAATTATTAGTGTGTACGAATAATCAAACAACATTACGTTATTTTATATGTGGTAGAGCCACGCTACAACTATTAATATAGTTGTAGCATGAATGGATCGGCTCGACCGGGGGAGGACCACGCTCTCACAGAATATCAGAAAAAATAGCAGCTTAATACTGCTGTGTTTCGTATGGTGAGTGTAGAGATCCATAGACCCTTTTTTACTGGAAACGAGTCATTCCATCGTAGTCCTCAGGGGTGATAAGACAATCTACGTTTCGATTCTTAATCGAGGATAAATGTAGATATCTATGGGCCACAACATCCACTTATCATCAAGCGAACTGTGTGCTTTTTTGTTACCATTATTCTATTTTAAAAAATACGACTTGCATTTTTTAAAATAGAATACATATATCACATATATATATACACATACCGACCAACTGAAACTGAGTTAACCCATTCATACAAATAGGTACAGGGGTCGGCTTTAGTAATCTGCTACACGATTTAAGTGATTATTTTAGCTTTAGTTGACAGGCAATGATGCTATTGATTACCATCTAGCTGCTTTTATGCCGGAAATCTTTATTTTTCGAGATATCGATAGTTAAAGTTTTGAGGTTATATCGGGTTGGCTAGACATCTGGTACTTGATTTTGATAGTGTTTTTAGTCTAGGAGGATTGTTAGGGTTAAGCTTAAACCTATTACCGGAAATGCAATTGGAATTAATTACGATAAAAAACCAAAAATAGTGTAATAACGAAAGTCAAATATATCAATTTGTTGTCGTATTATGAAGTAGATTTCTGGTATTTGATTTTGTTTTCAATTTAGGAGGATTGTCAGGGTTATTCTCGAACCATTTACACTGTTTTTGGATTTCGGAAATGCCTTTTGAATTAATTACGATAAAAATTAAAATTGCATACAACGAAACGCAAATATGTCAATTTGTTTTTTAACACAGATACACTCATAAAAAGTTAATCACTCGGACCCAGACAATCCATTTGTGGCTGGAGATGGGACTTCTATACAACAAATTGAGTTGCAGTGGAGAGCAGTCAAGAGGTTTTTCGGAAAACAAAATTATAACAATTCACATTAGACTATTTAATTTACCACTCTAGTAGCAGAGTTAAGAGCAACTAGACATAGCAACTAGACTTTATAACTAGATAAAATTGGTTAAATCGGTTCTAAAACCCAATTAGCACACCCCGACTCCACGTAGTCTTGTCTGCCCTACCCCTAGAGTGTTTTTGTAAAGCCGTAGGCACGGAGAGAGAGCAGCCACGCCGAAGCTGCGGAGGCGAGCATGTGTGCCTGTGATTTGCTGAGCAAGGGCGAAGGGGCTGCACTTCCCGCAGTGCCGTAGCCGTTGCAGAAGTAACTGTATCAATATTCCTGTATAAAAAGTGAGGTTATGATTTTACAAAAAAAGGGGGGTTTCCGGCACTTCCCCCTTTTAGGGGGAGGTTCCTACCCCAGCCCCCCCCCCCCACTCGGCGACTATATATTCATGCGGCAGATTACTAAAAAAAAATGATAAAAAAAGGGGGGAGGTTTCCGGCACTTAAACTTTTTAGGGGGAGGTTCCTACCCCTCTCCCCCCTCTACCCGCCCACTCGGGGACCATAAATTCGTGCGGCAGATTACTAAAGAAATACCAGATACAGTTTATACTGCTATGTCGTACTGATGACTGAATAGAACTAATAGAATGAGCTAGTACAGCGCTCTGTACTAGCTCATTCTTTAAAATGACCGAGCAGGCTCAAGACTATATGGCATTATTAGGATCTTGCCTTTACTTCAAAGTTTCAATCTTTTTTTTAAACAAGCAGATATAGCTTTCTCGATGGTTTATTTTCCGTTGAGTAAGTGGTAAATCAGCATAAGAATTGAAGGGGTCAGGGGAAAAACAGCTTTTGTCACATTTTTTGTTTTTTTCAGCTGGCAATGCAGTGTTAATGAACATACCCGTCTCTATGTTTTGCCAAAAACAACCCGGACAATAACATTCATAGTCACTGATAAATCTTGCTTTTAAATTATAGGTACAGGGTAAAAACAAACTATGTCCATAGAGTTCAGGGAAAAAACATTCGTTGTCCATGGTTGACTATATGACACATGACAGTGACACTTTTAATGATTTCTTAAATTTACGCAAACGCTACACATTGAATAAAACTAAATTTACGGATTATATCACGTTTATATAACTGATTTTACTTATTTTTAATCCCCGACGTTTCGGGTGCTTTACAGCAACCATGGTGAGCATGGTTGCTGTAAAGCACCCCCGTGACCATGGTTGCTGTAAAGCACCCGAAACGTCGGGAATTAAAAGTAAGTAAAATCAGTTAAATAAACGCGATAGACTCCGTAAATTTAGTTTTATTCAAAGTGACACTTTTAGGTTATTTTTCTATCCAATCGTTATTGTTTTAAGCATTCCTGTCGAATTATTTGATTTGTGAGTTTTTTACGAAAAATGTTAGACGAAGAGTGTAATGTTTTAAGGTATGAAAGGTCCAGTAAAAAAGGAAGACTTTTAGTCGAATTTCAGAAGTTAACAAGAAGCTAAACCTTTGAAGTCATGAAGCGGGTTAAAATTATTATTGTAAGAGGTACAAGTGTTTTCTAGTTGTAAACCCAGAACAAAGAAACAATATTTTAAGAGATTTTAATCTCCAGCCAACTCGCGATGCACAAAATTTGTATTTATGTGGTCTCATCACAGTTTACGAGGTACAAAGAAGGCGTCCAAGAAAAGACGAAGACGATGCAAATTTACATTCAGCAACTTATGCATACCGGGTTAGAATCACTAGCAGTAATCAAACGATAGATGTTCCAATTTGTTTTAAGGCATTCATGGCTATACATGGCATTAGCCAACAAAGGTTAAAAACCCTGAAGAAGTCTTTGCAAGAGACTGGACATGCCCCATTAGACAGGCTAGGCAAGCACAGTAACCGGCCAAGGAAACTCACAGAAGATATAAAAAATAAAGCAATGGAGCACATTAGGTCATTTCGTGGCCGTAAAAGTCATTATAGTCTACACGAATCCTCGAAACTATATCTTTCAGAAGATTTAAACTTAAAAAAAATGTACAATATGTTTCAATACAAAGATTCATTGTCTTATGAGTCATACAGAACTCTTTTTGTAAATAACTTTAATATTGGTTTTGGTTACCCAAGGTCAGATCACTGTGGAAATTGTGACGAGTTTAAGGCTAAACTGAAAGGCTTAGAAGTTGTCTTAAGGAATGCATTTAATAGTGAAGAAAAGGGTGTAATTGAAAAAAAGATTAGAGATTTAGAAACTGAAAATAAAGCACACAAGTTAAAAGCCGAGGTATTCTATCGCAGAAAAAGAGCAACTAGAATTTATTGTCAATCATCTTCTATAAGAGAAGCTATCGCCATGGATTATCAAAAGAATTTGAGCATGCCTAACATAACTTCTAATGAGACCTACTATAAGAGATAGTGGTGGTTAATATATCATATAGCAAAATAAAGCACCGTGCTTTTCATACATAACAAATAGCAAATGCTATCGTGGCTTTCACTTCTTGCTATTTGCTTAATGCTTTTTTACATCGCACTCTCTGTCTCTGTCAGTCGCGCATCACAAAATCGCAAAGCATGAAAGAAAGCAATAGCGTCGCGGCGGCCAGTCGTCGCATGCTAGAGATAGAGATTGCTTTCGGTCGCGTAATAGTAAGTAATCGTTTTACGCACCGCTTGCGATTTTGCCAATCCGCGATGTCGGGCGGCTCACGTAATATAATATAGGTAAATATTATTTTACTTCGTGCTTTTTAGTGTAAATAAACAGTGATAGGACACCTTAATATGTATTAGCTATAATTGTGCAAGTAAGGACAGAGTGAGATATCGTGTTGTTGTTTTGAGTGTAGGTATAATAACAGACGAAAATGTCTAGAAGGAACAGTGATTTGCCAATATGGAACTTTTTTGAAAAGCCCATTGATGGCCGTAAAACTGCTACATGTAATTACTGTCGTCGAGAGTTGTCGTTTAAAACGAGTGTTACAAATTTAAAACAACATTTAAAACAAAAACACATTTCGGTGTACAATAATTTAATTAATTTTGGCAAAACCCTCGAGTCACCTGAAACAGTGAGTAACATTCCCTTGTCTGAAGTCGAAGGTTTGCATGTGGAAAACTAACACTATAGATTGAGAGAGATTGAGCGGTAGTCGGGACAGCGAGTAGTACCTACTGTGCTCCTAAAGTAATCGAGTTTAATTGGATTTATTTAAGTATTAATGTTACAAAAGTGATAATGTATGTGCTTAATATAACAAATATTTGAGATACTGAATATTAGTGTGGTGTAATTAAAAAGTAATCAAAGGTAAAAGTGTAAATAAGGAAACAATCAGTGTAAAAGTACCCTTTAATTGTTGTTGTGTAGCAAAGATATTGATTTGTCCGAACTTACAAACTTATTCCATATATTATTACAATTTGAAAAACATTTAATTACCAGTATATCTAACGAATTGGAATATTATTAATCTACTTATAAAAAACTAAGTTTTAACTTTTAGTATATTGATATTAATTGATATAATCCCTTCTGTGCCATCTGGTGGCCACTAGTTGCATAGATTAATATTCTTTATATATATCAATAACATGGCAAAGTGTGAAGCATGCGGCCGCTACCTTTCGGTGACAGATGGCGCTACCTGTGGCAAATGTGATGCCACATATCATCGAGGCTGCCTTAACTTATCTGAAAAGACAAAGATATCAACTTCCTGGATGTGCCCAACTTGTAAGAGTAAAGTTCCTCGTGCTGGGGACAATTCTAATACACCGGTAAAGTGTCAGGATGTTGGAGATAATAGTCCCGTCTACAAAGACATTGACATAGGCCTAGAAATACGCCTGTTACGTAATGAGCTCAGTGAAATGCGCAATGAGCTGAAGGATATCAGGGACAATTTCGCCATGTTAAGGGATACAATGCTCGTGTGTAATAAAAATTTGGAAGAAATTGACACTAGGGTCACCAAGTTGGAGAACCGAATGGAAGAACGTGAGCACAAATGTAAGTCCATGGAGCTTGAGAACACAATAGCAGAATTAAGGATCCAACTAAGCGAGAGGGATCAGGATCTGTTAGCCAATGACTTAGAAATCTCAGGTCTACCGGAACAAAAGGGGGGAAGTAGCGATTAACACTGTGATACTATGTGCCAGAAAGTTAGGCCTTGATATTGACCACCGTGAAATTGTTCATGCCGAGCGTGTCGGAATATTACGCAAATCTATTGACGACATTAATAGCTCTCAAGAACAAGTTCGTTTGGGACCACGTAGAATTATGGTGCGAATGAGCCGGCGAGCGCTGCGAGATGAATTTCTACGTTCAGCGCGTGTTCGGCGGACAGTAACCACTGAGTCACTGGGGTTACCCGGTGAGCCGCGTCGGTTTTACGTGAATGAGTGGTTAACACCTTTGAATAGGAAGTTGTTTGGTAAGACTCGCGAGGCAGCGAAAAAAGCAAAATGGCGTTATACTTGGACGAAGGGAGGACATATTTTTGTGAGAAAGGAAGATGGAAAGCCTGTAACGCGAATTCGGTCCGAAGCAGACCTTAAGCGTGTTTTTTGTTAATCATGCGTTAGCTATTAATTTACTTTTTTTAATATTACTTTTTTATTATCCTACCTCTTATGTTAGAGATAGCTTAATTAGGTTTGCTAAAACAATATTTATATTATTTTATAAGTTAGTCTCCATAATAACAATTACATACAGTAAGTGTATAAATATTACTATACATCAACTTAATATAATATATTGCTTTTCAAAGGGTTTATTGTTAAATTTTAATTCAGCCTATTTTGGTTTATGTAAATCAGTATACACATGTTCATCACGCATGAAATCTTTAAGTGTAATTTTCATTGTCTCGTTAGTATTTGTGTGTCTGACAAAAGTGTTCATACCGTGAGTAATCGCAATTTTACTTTACTATATTTTTCCGGGTCATTAGTGGTAAACAGTTCCTAACGTTTTTTACTCCACTTACATAAACACAATTTTAATTTTGTATTTATATATAAACACACATATTTTTATTTTTATATTTTTAACGTAAATAATTTTAACATTCGGAAAGAAATAACCTTAATATTCAATAATAATAAATGTAATCTATCAAAATTTATACATAATGTCTTGTCAATATATAATTTATATGTAACGTGTTGTCAGTTTAGTGTACAAAGTAAACATACATCATGTCTTAATAATATTTATTTATTATACGTAAATCCTGAGATATACTATTTATTTATAAGATTAAATTTACAATATATAATATTTGTTACAATTAAAAAAACCTTATTTGGTATTTTATACTCATTATTACCACATTACTATCTGTTAACAATGGATAAATCTTTTTATTCGGCCAACGTTAGTGGTAATTCGGTTAGCAATGATTAAGTTTAAAGAATTAAAAGTTGGTTTCTTTAATGCGGGTTCATTGGGTACGAAACACGAGGAATTCCTCGTAGCCATGAGTCGACATGATGTTGATCTCATGGCGATAAATGAGACCTGGCTGCGGGAAGGCGAAGATGGGCGCGCTCCGCTCGTACCTGGTTACCGCCTGCGTCACGTGCCGAGACCACACTCTGTGTGCGGTGGCCGTGGAGGGGGTGTAGGCTTCTACTTCAAAAAGGGAATCAATGCCCGAACAATATCTACTCCTCACCACAACTGTGTAGAAGAGATGTGGCTAGCCCTGCATATAAACTCAAAAAAAAATTGTGATAGGCACGGCTTACCGCCCACCATGGCTTAGCGTTGAATTATTTCTTGATGCTATAACTGACAGCCTTAGCACATTTTCGCACGATTGTGTTCTGATTTTGGGAGATTTTAATATTAATTTAATTGACACAGAAGATGTGAAGACCAAGCGTTTTATGGAATTTATAAATTATTTTAATATTAAATAATTAATAGATAAGCCAACACATTTTATCGAAACTAGTCAAACTCTAATAGATGTTATCTGTACTAATGCGCCAACACGAAATGTCACAATTGATCATATAGCTGACTTAGGTAATCATGCCTTTCTTACATGCGAGTTACATTTTAAAATAGACAAAATACTACCTCGGACGCTAGTATATCGCCCCCTAAATGATATCCTACTTGATTATTTTGAACGAGACCTCCAGATAATCCCATGGGATGTTATCAGTTGTACCGATAATGTCAATGAAATGGTACACTTATTTAATCGCTATATCCTAAATTTATTTGACTTGCATTCACCTATTAAAACAGTTATACTTAAGGATCGCCCTTGCCCCTGGATAACCAAAACCATAAAATTAATGATGAGCTTACGCGATGAAGCACGCAACAAATATCGATGTTCGCAGTTGTCCAGTCATAAAAATTATTATAAACAAAACATCAAGTAAATGTCGCACTATACCACGAGAAAAAAGCATATTACAAAGTGTTCATTAATAATAATATCAGCAATCCAAAGAAGCTATGGTCAAATTTGAAGGCGTACTCGTTACCACCGAAAAACGAATACGACCTACCGCCACATTTATTGGATCCTGATACTATTAATTTACATTTTTCAAATATACCAGGTTCCTATAACGTAACTATATCGGATCTTACATATTTTGAATTTAATAGATTTACATCTAAAACTTTTTTGCTGAAACCGGTATCTCAAGATATTACTTTGAATATAATTAAAAAACTAAAATCTAATGCACTGGGAGTTGATGGTATTAACCTAGATATGTTATTGGTCCCACAAAGTCTTGAAAGTATTACCGCTTTGATTAACCTATCGATAACTACAAGTACATTCCCTGACATCTGGAAACTAGCCTTAATACGTCCTCTTCCAAAAAATGCTAATCCTGCTACCGTGACAGACTTACGGCCCATAAGTTTGCTACCCTGTATATCTAAAATATTAGAAAAAGTTGTGTATCAACAATTAATTTCATATCTAGAAAATAATGCTATACTGCCTGATCTTCAATCGGGTTTCAGAAAGGGACGAAGTTTTGCTACTGCCCTATCTGATGTAGTAGGTAATATATTGGAGGCCCAAGATACAGGTCAGGGGACTATACTCGTCCTATTAGATTATTCTAGGGCTTTTGATACCATAAATACATCTTTACTTTTGTCCAAAATGTCGTTTTACGGATTTGACCCCAGGAATATAAAATGGTTTCACAGGTACCTTAGTGGACGTTCACAGCAAATTACAATTCAATTAAATGGTCAAAACTGTGTATCTTCTCCGCAGCGGATCACGCGTGGTGTTCCTCAAGGATCGATTTTGGGTCCCGTACTTTTCGCGTTATATACATCAGACATTAGTAATTGTTTCCAATATTGTAAATATCACTTATTTGCAGATGACACACAGATTTATAAGTCTTTTAAGCCTAGTCATACTACAGAAGCTATTAATGAACTCAACGAGGATTTGGATAAAGTAGTAAAGTGGTCAGAAAGAAACTGTTTAGTGTTGAACCCATCAAAGACAAAGTTTTTAATTTGCGGAACGAAACAACAGATTCAAAAAATAAATAAATTTGTCCCAACACTGTATATAAAAGGCACGGTATTAGAAAGAGTCGATATGGCACGTAATCTAGGAATCATAATTAGCCCTGATATCAGATTTCAAGATTATATCAATAACATTGTTAAGAACTGTTTTTATAGGTTAAAAATCCTGTACAGAATGCGTGAACACTTAAGTATAGAATTACGAAAAAGACTATCGGACACCCTAGTACTATCAAAATTTAATTATGCTGATACGGTTTATGGGCCTTGTTTACTGTCACGTACCGCACACCTTATTCAACGGGTCCAAAATGCTTGTGCGAGGTTTTGCTTGGATGTACCACCAAGAGGTCACGTAAGCCCATTTCTTGACGACAATAATATCCTTAAAATGGCTGCCAGACGCAAACTTCACTTAGATTGTGCACTTTTTGGCGTCATAAAGACAAAAAAAAAACAAAGTATCTTTTTAGTAAGTTACACTGGTCTCGCGAGCATAGCAAGTATCTCACCCGCGCTTCATCCTATAATAGGCTCAGTATTCCGCGACATTCTTCTTCAGCATTTCGAGGTTGTTATAAGTACGCAGCCTCCCATTGTTGGAATAATCTACCACCTCCACTGCGTGACCTAAACACATTAGGCACGTTTAGAAAGCACTTAAAATATCTCCTAATAAACGAACAGAAGGGCATACAATAAATAGGATATATATATATATATGTATATATAATTTTATAATATACACTGTTAAATTAAATTATTGCACTTACTAATGTTCCCGTTACGTCTCACGTAGCGTTCAACAACTTTCGTTCAGCACAACTATACAATACGTATTTTCCATTTTGTTATTAACATTCATCAGTTGTTATTATCATATGTATCTACTACTACTCGCTTAATGTCAACACTTTCGGCACGGTCTCCGTAGGACCGTATGGAGCCGACTGAAAATCAGCGTCGCTATCCCGCGGCTTATGCTGAGGCGGTCCCTTCCGCCACTTCATCTGTTTCGATTATTAATTTTATCCTCTACTTTTTTTTGTTTATAAATTTCTTGTGTTTTTATTTCTTTTATTTATTTTATTCTTATTCGTCTTCATTTTGTTTATTAATTTGTATTGTAATCTTAAGTGTCGGAATAAATGTCTTTATGTCTTTATGAAAATGTTGGTGATGGTTGTGTTGTTGTGATTCCCCTGACCCCTTCAATTCTTATGCTGATTTACCACTTACTCAACGGAAAATAAACCATCGAGAAAGCTATATCTGCTTGTTTGAAAAAATAATTGAAACTTTGAAGTAAAGGCAAGATCCTAATAATGCCATGTAGTCTTGGGCCTGCTCGGTCATTTTAAAGATCGCCCTGTACTAGCTCATTCTATTAGCTCTATTCAGTCATCAGTACGACAAAGCATTATAAACTGTATCTGGTATTTCTTTATTAATCTGCCGCACGAATTTATGGTCTCCGAGTGGGCGGGTAGAGGGGGGAGAGGGGTAGGAACCTCCCCCTAAAAAGTTTAAGTGCCGGAAACCTCCCCCCTCTTTTATGAATTATTTAGTAATCTGCCGCGTGAATATATAGTCGCCG